GTGTGCTCTTCCGATCTCAAATATAAGATCATACAAGTTGCCAAGTATTTGATTAGACAGAGACAAAAATATTTTATTCCAAACTAAAAATATTTTTTAAATAAAATGTTTAAACTATCCAAAATTATATGCAGCAAAGTTTAATGTCATTGTTTTTCCAAATAATTTTAAGTTTCATAAAACAGACTTAAAGTGACCAATGGAATCATAATGAAGCAAAAATTTGACCATTATGTAAAATTTGTTTCTTTTTTTTTAATAATTTTTAAATGATTAGTATGTCGATAACTATTCCAAAGATCGCAAAATGATAAAGGACTTTTCGATTCAATTTAGCCCACTCTACCTGTCCACAGCGTTTTAACATTCAGCACCGAACACTCTGTATATCTACATATAAGTAATATCTACAAATTAGATAATTCAGATTCAATGCTTAGACTCGCTATTACGACTGTATACTCTACCTATAGCCGTGAGATCCTCCGGTGTCATGCGCGTTATGGTAGCAAGGTCATAACCTGCGGAAGCGAACAAGGGGAAGTATTCCTCAAATTGAAGCTCAGTTAACCAAGCGTGAACGACGTCGAGGTCTGCCGGTCGGTCAGGATGACTCCCGAGGGAACTAATGGAGCATCTAGGAGATGAGGCAAGAGCACCGGGTCCTCTAGGTCCCAAGTGATATCCAGACGCTCTTCCAGAATCCAATGACGCCGTAGAATGTCTAGAGCCGGAACCTGATCCAGAACTACCAGGACTGTCTCTACCAGGACTCTGGGTCATATCGATACCTAAAAAAATATCATAACATTCATATTTCATTACATTATTTGTAATAAAAAAAATTATATTATAATGTCTTGTAAACAACATATTTTAAGCTTGACGCTCTTCTTTTAATTTTCTTTTTTCTAATTTTAAAATAATAATAAAAAATACATCGAAAAAGCATCTTTATCTTCATTTTCGTTCATTTTATACAGATAAAAAGTCATAACATGTATTAAAATATTATATAAGTTAACGCAATGTAATAATTTTATAAAAATAAGTAAGAAACTCGCATCTCAATCTGTACTGACAAGGGAACACAACCAATTAATCCTCCTCCTCCGATTTTAATGAGCTTTGGATATGTTAAAATATAGACAAAAATAAGGTTTGCTTTTTTTTATAAATGCTGACAAGGGAAGTAGGAAACCCGAAAATTTAGAAAAATCTGAAACTTTGTGTAAAAGTAGAGCAGTTCATCCAGTAGTACAAAACTATTTTTTGTTGGTGCTCTATTCCGTTTTGAAGGGATGAAATCATCACTTTAAAAAAATCGGTTTTTTTTCCGGCGTGAATATCGTCGAAACTATGAGAGAAAAAAAATGTTCTGGATCAAAGTTAATTGACTTAAAGTGTGCTACTTTATAATAGTAATAAAAAAATTTTTTTTAATATTTCCCCTACCACTTTGCATTTTTTTAAATTTTTAAATTTTTTAATGACCAAATTAAGTTATTTTAATACAAATTCAATTATGTGTAATAAAATTATTTTCCAAAGTACCATTTTCGAGAAATAATTACAAACGTCTCTATACGCACACCATCTGTACTAGTTTACGCTACGCGCACGCAACAATTCTTCACGCAGCACGTTCTGATCGCATTTAACAAAGGATAATAATGAAAGCAAATCTATTTTCGCAATATTCTGCGGATGTATAACTATGAATCGTTTCTATCGCGCACGGCTAGACAACGCTTACAAAGCAGAATTTGAATGTCGTAGAATGTCAAATCAAATCGGTGTAAATAACTTATTGCGGGAACAGTCTGTACGTATAATCACAGACGTTTCTTATCTTATCAGATAATATTTGCGAAGCATTTGAATATGAATTGATTTTAAGACTGAAATAATGAAAGACGTATACACGCAGTCAATTATTTTTATTTTTATTATTATAGTATAATATAAATAGAAATACATGTTGTGCAATATTCACTGATAAATTAAAATTTGTGCGATATAAAAGTTTTTTGCGTGAACTGTGGTGTGTCTCATCGTCCGAAGGTACGTTATAATTTACATAAATAATATTTTGCATTTGATTTTTATATTTTTTATTTTATTACATATTTATATCTTATTTGAGTATTTTTTAAATTTTATTTAATGAATAAATAAGATATTCTATGGAATTCTGTTTTGACATAAAACCCTTATAAAAATAAAATATTAGGATTATTCAATTGGCTAGTAATTACTTGCTTTTAGTATTAAAAGCATTGTTGTTTAGTACTTTTGGTACTCAAAATATTCAA